AAAAATTCAATAAAACAATACTAATTCATAATCATTTACGTATATTTTTATGACTTGTTTTATCGTTATTCAACAATATTCGATGCCATATCGCTGATCTATTTAAAACATTTTGTACTGCAAGTGCCGATATGAACGTATAGTATAGTACTTATATAATATGGATATAATTTAACCTTCGAGAATTATCATACAGCGTATAAACAAGCTCTATTCAAGCGTTTGTTTATTAAATAATGTATATATTTATTATTTTCAAGTTATGATAATTTTGAGCTTTTTAACTTTAAAATTGTGAATTTAAGTAATATTACCCTATTTTTTAAAGGGAAAAATTTCTATGTAGGAGATTACATTTAATGATGATTCAGGTAAAAAGGTTATTCGTGTAATAGTTTACATTTGGCCTACCAACTTACCCAACCTAAAGCCCCACAGTTCCCTCCCCACACACAATGGCCTATGTTGCCGCGGGTTATCCAATGAAAAAAAAAAAATTTAAGAAAACATTTTTTTTTAGCTAGTACCTTATAGTATAAAATCAATGCTTATAATGTAATACCAGTGGTTTTCAAACTTTTATGAAACACGGTACACCATGTGCTTCTCAAAAATTTTCACGGCACACTGACCATTTTTTTTTGCATTAAATAATTAGATAAACAAAATTATTTTAAATTATATAGTTATATACATATTTAATTAGAAATGTGTGCTTGTTGGGCTAACAATAAGGTTTTTATTCACTCTCATTTTTACACTATAACAGAGTACTTAAAGTACAATTTGCTATGTTACGCACTTGTTAGACGGAGACTACAAATGTCCGTGTAACGTCCTCTTAACAGATATATTACGATGGTTTACTTTTATGTTTGAACACACAATTACATTTTCAGCTAATAAATTTTACAATAGGTACCTAATAACAATAACTTTATTTATTTAAAATAAACGTTTAATAAATCAATTACTAATTAAACTTACCGAAGACACGTATGAAGTTTTGTAGCTTTTGCCATGAAATCTTCCCACATTGGAGTTCCATTCTGAAATTTAACAAAAATACAATTAACAATATAATATGATATTTCAAGAAGATAAAACTTATACGATAAAACTTAATTAACTCTTTGAGGGGCCGTGGTTAGTATGCTAACCACTTTTTTTTTTACCGTTCAGGTGCGGTGGTTACTATTTTAACCACTTTTAAAATTATTTTTAATATTTTTTTGAAAATCGTCAGCATACCAACCATCTTATTATCATCTAATACATGCATCAAACAATATCACTGCCGCTGGTCTGATATCATTTCTCGCGTATTTCATCATTTATTATCATTATCAATATTTTGATATACGTACTAAATGTTATGGTAAAGAGACGTATTGCCCACATGGGCTTTTTTTCCAAAAGAAATTTTCGCCCCTCAAAGAGTTAATACAGTATACCTAATGCTAAATGCATTAATGCATATTACGCAAGTTGGTTCCAGTCACTAAAATCGACTAAATAGTCTGAGTAAAACCCTTGCCCAATATAAATCGCAGTAACTAGAAAATATTAATCGTGATACCTTATATAATACTATATGACGGTCTTTCATATGGTTTCCCTCTTCAATATGGTAATTGGCGACTAAAAGGCCGTTTGCGTGTTTAACGGTTGCCTTGTTTATAAAATTATCAATATATTTTTATTTTTTAATGATAAAATTCCGATAATTTCAATGATTTTTGAGTGAATTGTTTGATCAATTGTGCTATAAGAGTTTGAAAATTTTAATTTGTAGTATATTTTTAGAGGTAGGTACGATGATAGTAAAAAATTAAGTCAAATATTCCTTTGATAAAAAAACTTAATATAATAATATAAATGCTTGAACCTGAAAAAATTCTGTATACATAGGTACTTCAATCGTGCTAATTATTCAATTGTATAAATAAATCGTTAAGACGGTACGTAAGGGTATAACATCGCAAATTTACGCTCAGGATTTTAGCTTCGTTAAATTAAAAATTAGAGTGAATCAACCTATTATAAAACTGGATGATAAGTACATAATCTGTGTTTGTATGTGTGTGTTTTTAAGATAGTTCAATTTTTTAGTAAGTTATGCGTATATAATATAGAGTAAATTAAAAATGCTCATAACTCACTTAAAATCTGAATTATCGTAAAAATCCCACTCACAAACACAGATAATGTTCTTACCATCAAGTTTCATAATAGGTCGATTCACTTTAATTTTTAAACTAACTGAGTTAGACACAACAAATATCTGTGTAGCGTCCTCTTAAATAGGTTTATATACTTTAAAGTTTTTACCATATAACATGCAAGTATAAGTGGGAAGAAGAATCAGGGAGAAGTATACAACAAATATCAATCCAAATATACAAACTTATCTTGACTCTTGGACATGATACAGATAGTATTGGTTTATTATAAAAACATTTTTTTTTCGATAATCAAAGAAAGTGAACAAATAATTATGATATTTTACTGACGGCCGAGTGCAATATATTCTGAATTATGAAAAATAGAATAAATGATAATTATTCTCTTATTTTCAAAATATAGCTTATATTAATATATAGTTTTTTAAATGCATTTTTGTCTACGAATTCCATGTTCGAAAATCGTCCATATTTTTGTTAACTTGTGGAGTAAGATAACCAAAAAATGTACGAGAAAACTAAGAAATTCAGTCTCAATTTATAATTTTGATTATGATACTAATACTAATACTATTATTTGTACTTAAAACATCCGGGTACTTACTGGATTTTTATATTTAAACGCATCTATATATAATAATAATAGCAATAGCAATAATCTTAATAATAATAATAATAATAAATAGTAATATATTATGTGATATTAATTAATTTCATTAATAAATATACTTCCAAACATTATAAATAGATATAATAATGATAATAATAATATATGTATCTAGGTATTTAAAAAAAAACAGATAATATTATAGTAAAATAGGTGCCTAGTGTCACTACCTATTTATCAATTAATTTGTATAATAATAATTATGCAAACAAAATTAAAATTAAAATTGTATCAAGCGGAACTTAATAACTTTGCTTAGATCGTTTCTCGAATTTTTTGTTGGCCCACTTGGCCTCCGATTGGGGGTTTAAAAATTAGCATAAATGATTAACTAGATTATGTATAAATCCATGTTGTTGCAAATTATCATAATAGATTTTTAGCTGTCAAAAAAAACAATGGATTCAGTAAAAAATCATGGTCTTATACTCTTATAATATTATAGTATAACATCAAGTTTCTAGAAATTATACTACTACATACATTTTAAACATATTGATGACTCAAAATCATTTTATTTGAGTTTTTCCTAATCTACATATAAATATACCCAACAACTTACCTAGTAAAATTAAATATTTTTTACAACTTAATATTTCTTTAGTTAAACAAAAGAATAAATTACCAACATTTTTTTGAAGTGGCAACATCATCAAAATATAAAATACATATAAATATATTATAATATATCCTTCTTTACAGAACAAGTTTAAATTAATATAGGTTAAAATAAATAAATTAAAACAGCTTTCTTTAAGTTATTTTTGTATTTGATACACGAAAGGCATACTTATTACATGCATAATAGAATTAAGTGTCTATAAGTTATAAGGGATTACAGACTTATCTGAATCAGAATAAATTTACTAGATATTATTATTTATTTTGTTGACACCATTTATTTTTATTAATTTTAAGTAAACTTTTTACTGTACGTGTTACGTGTATGAATTCTACAAACTAGTAGGACACTATATTTTTAAAAACCATAGATATTGATCGATATTAAAATATATTGTGAGGGGGACGAGGTGGCCGAGCGGTCGAACACGTCGTCTGCGGCGCTGGCGGTCGCGGGTTCGATTCTCTCGACCACTGGGCGGCATTATTCTCCGGGCAAGTCACGGTGTCCGGAGAACAAGTGCCGCCATCCCCCACTCCGGGGCATGGCAGAAACCTACGGGTGCCCCAATAGAAATTCTGCCAAACACAACACACACGTGTAATAACCCTACAATTTCAAACCCTACTACCTACAATCAAGCTAATGGTCATAGTCGCCGGGCTTTAAAAAAAAAAGATCAATTAAAAAAAAAAAAAAAATATATTTTAAACAATTAAAAATAAGACGAGTACCTATATAAAATATCTAGACGTTTTCTAGAAATAGTAGGTGCCACATATTTTATTTAGTTAATTAACTAATAGTTACATACAACTATACAAGTAGGTATACAACTATAATTAATATTTTTTAAATCTTAACAATAATCTTATAATAACAAAAACATTAATATAATTCTATGAATTTCCTCATTAGATCTTCGTCGTTTTACGTGTCAACGTAATTGGAATTTATTAACATTAAGACGAGCATCAAGAGGACGCCACACCCGCATCTGTTATCTCCGGCGTAGAAATGTACTACAAGCTACAAAGCAAATTTGCATTTAGCAGACCCGACCAATTTTGTGTTGTATAATATGTATCAAGTTACTAATATTAATCTATTATCAAATTTAAATGTAAGAACATTATCAGATTATGTTTATTTGTTTATGCCGATAGGCGATAGTTCAATGTTTAAGCGATATAAAATTTGCGCCTAATAATTTACATATTATCTACCTAGTCTTTTTTTTGTCATTTATACTTTAAACATAAGCCATTTTACAAAACAAAGACAGACCTCGAAAGCAATAATTAGTTTTATTTAATTTATCTAAAATAATATATACTATTCCTTCAGGTAAGTACCTCGCAGTGTAGAATTTACATATTATTATCTTTTTAGGAGGTACATATTATATTGCCAATATTTTCACGATTTACTACAACAAGAGAAGCAATTAATTTTAACACTTAAACTAATATAATTAGCATTTTAAAATATTATTTCCATTTTACTTTGATTTTCTAACTCTCAACTCAACATTTTTTTTAAACCACGTACATTTAAAACTTAATTGATTACAATTTGATAGAGGAATTATAGTAGGTATTATAAGTGGGTTATAAGAGTAGAATGCAATTTTATTAAGTATAATATATATAATATTGACCTTGGACAATATAATATAACTTCACACTATGTATTAAAATTTGCTTTCATATTAACATCACACTCCTAAGATCATCGTCAACATATTGACCCGTTAAATAAAACCAGTTTTTACTTCCTGTTCTTCATTTGAGATATCAACCTGTATACCCCAAAAATAATCAATAAAAACTGTAATTTTAACACACACATACCTACATTTAAATGATTTAATGACAAGAAAAACAATATTATATGTTTACGTCGTTTAAAATGTTTAAATTAATAATGCAATGATAAATTAATGTATTTTTAATAAGCATTTATAAGTTTATATTACAAAAATAACCAAGTCACCAAGACAATGAAAATGTATGCCACATTTATTTTAAATCCTATTGGAATGGATACATGTGAACATTTAAAACATTGTTTCTGCAAAGTTTTTGCAAACAAACAGATAAGACAGAGTTTTAGGACCAGTTGTAAACATACATACTAATTATGTGTTGAAAATTATAGCGCAGGAAAGTTAAGAAATTAATTAAGTATTTTTTATATAGAAGGGACACGAGTACAGCTCTCACTTGATTTTTTTATTGGACGCTTAAAACAAAAGCATACAATTTACAAAAGCACCTAAGCATGCATAGATACTAATATATTACTATTACTATATTATTAATTACTAAATACATTTGCATAAAAAACAATTTGATAATCGTTATGTGGAGGACGGAGTCAGAAATGTGTATACGGCTTGATTACAATGTATATGACAAAGTAATAGGAACTTCTGAGCCCAAGAGTTCCAGAGGACCCAAGCCGATGAATCGGGACGTGCGGAAAGTGACCCGGAGCAATGAAAATCGATCTTAAATAGGAAATCAGACACAACGATGATAATTTCAGATAACCCTCATAACATTTTTAGATCA